CACCCTTTGGACCTTTACTGATCATCGCCCAAGAGTCCCTGGGGTCCTTCCTTGACCACTCAGTCTCTAACTCTTCTAGGGCCTCAGACACATCTCTCGAACAGAGCGTCGGTGGGTCTGAATGTGTCTGCGGGGCGATACGTGGGTCACTAGCCTTGGCCAACGCTTGAAGTGGGGAAGGCAACGTTACCACTTCAGCGCGAGTAAGAGCGGCTAACACTCCTACTGGCCCGAGGTGTTTCCCTGTGAGCTGCTCGCAGAAGCAGTCCCAGGGTTTGAAGATAGACCCACCACCGTTGGTGAGACTACCTTCGTGGTGACCTTCTTGCCGCGGCAAGTCCTGGACGTGTGACCATAATGGCCACAGTTCATGCATGTACCCCTAGCAACGTGGTCACGCCACACCTCATACTCTAAACCAATCTTCACCCATGCGGGTGTTCCTTGGTCGCCCTGACCCGTGGACCGTACTACCTTCTTCTTYCCGGTCCCCCTAGCCTTTTCCTTGATGGGTGCTACGACTCCACCATYTGAAGTCTCACTACCCCCATCGTGCTTTGTGAACTCCCCAAGATCCGAGTAGTCGTCAATCTYCGTCGTTTGACCATCGTGGTCAACGAACATTAACTGACCCTTTTTCTTCCAATCTTGGGGCAGTCTCTTYCTACCATCGTTGGGGGCCTGATGCGCAGATCCTAGCTTTGCCTCGATGTCCAGAGCTTTCTTACTAAATGAAGTGAAGGTGTGCTGTTCAACATAGGCTTCGTCAACCAGCTTGGTCCTTACCTYTGACGGTAGGCACCTTAGGTWATCCGTTAGGAGAACCTGCTGGTCAAAACGCACACCAGGTACCACGATTAATCGTTCTACGGCGTCCGTCAACTCTCTAACATTCTTGAACCTTCGGGAACAAAGACTGTTGATAGCGTCAGTGGCCTTCTGAGCCCCTTGTGGGTCATGCCACTTGTTGTATACGGACCGTATGAACTCTTCCAATGTCTGAGATTGTGCCCAGGCATCGAAGTTTTGATCGTAGCCCTGTTGTTGCACTACGCCATTTAACCAGCGGGCTGCTGACCGTTCTAAAAAGGAGGCAGCCACTACAACTTCTTGCTGTGGCCTTGTGAGCTTATGCCTCACATAAGTAGGCACAGTTCTCACCCAAGTGTCCAAGTCTTCGTCCTTCTTCTTATCCCCAGAGAAGGGCTTGGGACTCATCAAAGCTATCTTGGGCATCCACTGCATAGGCTGCATGGGCCCAGGTGCTTGTTGCAGCGGCTGCATAGCCACTGAAACAGGTTGTTGCTACTAACCTGAGCCTGGCTGGACAGTGGGACTGTAGTGACCACTGTTGATGTGGTACGGCTGAGACTGAATGAACCGGACCACTAGTTGCTACTAAACCACCCGGGGAGGGTATGCCAAACATGGGAGAGAAAGTTCGCCCTGTGCGTTGTGGCATCGATGATGGACCCGCAGCTGCAGGGGGAACTACAGCAAACTGTGGCGGCCTCACCATTGGGCGAGTGCCCCGAAGTTCAGCCAGAATTTGTTTCTGGCCTGCTACCAAATCAGCCAACAATTCCTGCTGAACGCTTTGTGCTTCCGCCACTGAAAGTAATGCGCCTCGCAGTACACGGACAACAGGGTCTAATGTTGACTCATCTAGTCTTTCCAGTCTGCCTAGCTCCTGAGCTCTACTCTCTAGTCTAGCCTTTCTTCGCATAGCTTTCCTTCTCCTCTCTACTACTTCGTCCATCTGCCGTTGTAGCTCATCCTGAAGTTCTTCTGCTTGTCGGATTTCCAAGTCCTCCGGCGTGATAGGAGATTGGCTGACTCGCACATGACCAATCTGACTAGTGGCTGCCTGAGTGCTACCCTGACTGACTCTCGACGACGTGGCTTGTGTAGAGACTTGCGACATGGCTGAGGTAGCCATGGTTGCACCGGTGCTAGCTGAAATACTAGCCCTAGCACTGTCCTCAGCTGCCCTCGCCCTCCTTGCCGCTGTTCTCTCTCTAGCCTCTCGCCTCAATCTTCTCTCTTCTCCTGAAGCTAACTCCAAGAATGTCAAGGGTCGACTGCGGGCAGTCCTGCGAGTAGTCCTACGGTCGTCCACTAGTAACTCCTCACTTGTGCTTGCATCACTCATGAGCTACAGTGTGTGTGATCTAAACTAGAATCCACACTGAATCYTACCTTAGCTTGACACACATCCGTATATGATACACAACTAACCACGGTCGGCATGAACAGAAATAGTTAGGTGATGTAGCAACAACTAATGTCAGGTCCTACAGGATATATCAAATCTATTTTTAGATTACCCTAGAACAGATTGCAATACAGCAAAGATCTATTCTATCTGTAGCTGTTTGTCAGTTGTCAGCAAGTCCGTAACAACTAGATAATCAAAAACAAAAATAACATCTCTGTTGGAGATGTTCACTGGATGGCAGATAGTCTGTTGAGTGCCACTGTGAACAGTTACCGGAATCCCCCCTCCCCCTGTATCCTTCTTGATTAGTCTCTTTGTGTCAACGTCCCTGAGCATCTGGTTGAGCAGCGTGTCTAAAGGTGTGCAATCCGGTCCCACCCCTGTGCCTCAAGTCATCGTCGAGCAAGGCAGCCACAACACTCTTATTTACCCTCGTACGCCGACGAGCCTTACACCCGGTTGATCTGGCTGATCAGGAGGAATTTAAGGAGCGCCCCCATCTCTTCAGGAATTATTTACCGTCGCAGTCAGGACGACGATCACAGCCGGATTCAGATCCGAGTCCCCAACCAGAAATGTTTATAGACGGTCTGGTGAGCGTCTCATAGAGGCTGCCATGCCCGAGTTGACCCCTATTTGCGCAAGCAGCAGATCCAAGGACTTGCGCCCAAGCATGCGTGTACTAGTSCCAGCGGGTTGGCATGGTGACCGTGACCCGAGTGCTTCGTCCAGGGCCCTTCAGAGGCTTCACCCGTCTCCCACCAGCTTGCTGCCCAGGAAGAATGTCGACTCTCAAGGTTGAGCGCTCGCGACACCTCACATCGAGAGGACTCTCAAGA